AGGGGCTGGTCTCTTCAGGCCAGAGACCATGTAGATGTTGCTGGTGCCTGTGGAAAAGAAGAGAGGGAACGAGTTGCAAAATAGTGATTGAAGTTTGGCCATGTGGAGAATACATTGACAGTGATGGTAATGGGAGAGCAGTGTAGTACTTGTCAATGAAGCTTACTTGGCTGCTGGAAGATGGAGATCTCAGCTTCACCATATGAGTGGTTTGGTCTTCTCCCACTTGAGAGAGGATTCTTTCCTCTATGGGGTGTGGAGATGAATGTCAAGAGCCACACTACCCAACTTGGCCCTTTCTGCTCCATTGTGAGCTATCTGATCCTGGAGTGAAACAAAGTGAGTGATTGAAAGTGTCTGGCACAACTGTTAGTATTGGTGGGAAGTGGGTGCGCTGGTATAGTCAGAGTGAGTGTGAGGTATTGGAGAGATACTAGTGACATTTAGTGGGAAAAGTGCTGAAGCTCATTAACCTTCTTCCTGCAATGCCGTGTGTTCCTCCACATTGTTGACATTGCACTGACTCAGATAAAAACGTCAGCCCAGGCTGGCAGAAGTCTGCTGCTATGTTCTCTTCCAACAGTCCCGAGGAAAGAGGTTGGCTCAGGTCTTCATCAACCTGCCCACTAGGACTTCGAGTTTCCTGTTGGTGAAGTGAAGTGTCCACTTCCCTTTCTCAGCTATGTCCTTTCAAGTGATGCAGAAATACCCAGTGAATTGCAGTTTCTGACTTGCAGTGTTGGAGTCGGTGCACAGCTGGAATGTCAACATGGTTCTGGTGGTGTAATTCCCTGAAGATGCCAGCAGTGAGTACTCCCAGCCCTGCTGAATGCAAGGTAGACAGAGAGCAATGCCACAGAGAGTGGGACATCCATAATGCAGAGGAGAATTGCATGAGTAAGCTCACCAGAACTCACAAAGAGCCTTCTGAAATTGACACTTCACTGAACTTTGTAAAATTCTGCCCATAATCTTTGAGCTGTTCTTGTAGTATTTGTTTTGTTGGCCCAGTTGAATTTCTGACCAACCACATCTCCCTGGACCTTGGGAACGGGCTGATGTCAATGCCACTGGGGAGACACTTGAGCTGCCTTTTGTAGGAGATAATCATTGCCCAACATATGTGATGAAGGTCACTTACAACTTATCATGCAAATTCTAGCTATTTCCATGTCTTACAGCATGCAGGAATAGTCTGATTCATTAGCTGAGGGATTATGAATGGAGTTAAATACCCTACAATCGTTGTGTGCTAATAACTTTCCTACAATAGACAAATATAAATGTTTAGTCCTATCTTTGAGGATTTTATCCAGTGTTGATGATTACTTTTAAGGCCTTTGTCCCAGTAAACACATTAAAAAGCATTGGCAAAGTGATTCTTGTGGTGAGAGGCCTCCACACATGAAAAGCACTGAACAAGATATGGAAAAGGAACACTACAATGTTCTGACCTCAGGAAAGGAAATTAAAGGAATAGATATCCATTTGATTTTTGTTTGCCTTTTGTGGCTTGTGAACTGCCATCTTTCTTTAAAAATTTCATTTTCACTCTTTACCTTCCAGAGGGAATGAGAGACTGTTGTGTGCTCTGCGTCATGGGGACTTGGCTCACCCCTGCCATTCCCGACTATGCCCTACAAGCTGATGGGTTCTCCATACACTGCATGGACCACACAGCGTCCTTGGGTAAGGTGAAGGGCAGTGGGGTATGCTTCCTGATCAACACTTCCTGGTGCTCGGACATAGCAACCCTGGCAAACCACTGCTCCCCAGAACAAGAATACCTTAAAGTAAAATGCCGACCCTACTTCCTACCGCAAGAGTTCACCTCCGCTGTCCTGACAGCAGTGTACATACCACCCCATGCGGATGTGAAGAATGCCCTAGACAAGATTTACACCACCACAAACCCTCTACAGACGAAATTCCCCAAGGCCCTATTCATTGTGGCTGGTGACTTCAACCAAGCCAACCTCAAACAGGTGCTGTCAAAGTACCACCAACACATCTCCTGCCCTGCTACAGGACAGAACATCCTGGACCACTGTTACACAACCATCAAAGACGCGTACCACTCAATCCACACCCCCCCGCCCACACTTCAGAAAATCAGATCATAACGCTGTGTTCCTCCTCCCAGGAAATGGGCGGATCCTTCACAAAGGAAGGGCAATGCTGGTCCAAGGCTATGGAAGAGCATCCCCAGGACTGCTTGGAATTGGAAGACTGGACCTTTTGAAGTACTCAGCAGAAAACACAGACAAATAAGCCACCACCGTCATGGACCTAATTAGCAAATACGTGGAGGACTGCAAGCCAAAGAAGTCAACGCAGGTGTTCCCCAACCATAAACCTTGGGTGAGCCAGGAAATCCACTCCGTACTGAAGACCAGACGTGCAGCATTGAAGTCGGATGACCCAGATCAATACCTCCGCAAAGCCATTAGGGATGCCAAGAGACAGTACCAGACCAAATTAGAGACCCAAACCAACCATACAGACCTCCACCACCTGTGACAAGGCCTAAACAATGTTGCAGGATACAAAATGAAGCAGGGCAAGATAGCGAACAGAGACACATCCCTCCCTGATGTGTCAATCCTTTCTATGCTCAGTTTGAGCAGAATGCCAGCAGCGCGGTGTCACCTGCCCCGACAGCCCCGGACTCTCCTGTTCCTTGAAGACATCAGCTCGGTCTTCCTGGGAGTCAACCCAAGGAAAGTGACAGGCCCGGACGGTATCCCACGATAAGCACTCAGATCTTGTGCGGACCAACTGGTGGAGGTGTTCACCGACATCTTCAACGTCTCCCTCCTACAAGCTGAAGTCCCCATCTGCTTCAGTAAGACCATCATCATCCCTGTACCAGAGAAAGCACATGCAGTGTGCCTTAATGACTACCATGCAGTGGCTCTGACCTCCATAATCATGAAGTGCTTTGAGAGGCTGGTCATGGCCCACATCAATTCCAGTCTCCCAGCCTGTCTCAATCCCTTGCAATTTGCCTATTGACCTAACAGGTCCACAGTGGATGCCATATCCCTAGCCCTGCACTCATTCCTGGAACATCTGGACAACAAGGACACCTATGTCAGACTTCTGCTCATTGACTCCAGCTCCGCCTTCAACACCATTATCCCCTCCAGACTAATCTCAAAACTCCGTGACCCTGGTCTTGGCTCCACCCTGTACACCCGGATCCTCAGCTTTCTGACCTATAGGCCGCAATCAGTGAGGATAGGTAACTGCACCTCCTCCACAGTAACACTCAACACTGGGGCCCCCCCGGGATGCATCCTCAGCCCCCTACTGTACTCCCTGTACACTTACAGCTGCGTTGCTAAATTCTAAATGAGCGCCACCTACAAGTTTGCTGATGACACCACCTTAGTGGGACAGATATCTAACAACGATGGGTCAAAATACAGAAGGGAAATAGAGGGCTTGGTGACATGATGCAATAAAAACAATCTGTTTCTCAACTTGGGCAAAACTAAAGAACTGATCATCGACTTCAGAAAGAAGGGAGGAGAACACACCCCCATCTACATCAACAGAACTGAGCTTGAGAGGGTGGACAGCGACAAGTTCCTCGGAGTGACGATAACTGACAACCTGTCCTGGACTTCCCACGTAAATGCGACAGTCAAGAAGGCACACCAACGCCTCCTCTTCCTTAAGCGGCTCTGGAAATTTGGCATGTCCATAATTTCCTTCACCAACTTCTACAGATGCACCATTGAAAGCATACTGTCTGGGTGCATAACAGCCTGTTATGGAAACTGCTCTGTCCAGATCATCACGGAAGCCAACCTTCCATCCATGAACTCTGTTTACATGGCTCGCTGCCGCAGAAGGCAGCCAACATCATCAAAGACCCATCACACCCCGGTAATGATCGCTTGCAACCTCTTCCATACAGAAGCCTGAATACATGCACCAGCAGATTCAGGAACGGCTTCTTCCCAGCTGTTATTAGACTGATGAATGGACTCTCTAGCCTCACATAATGCTGATGTTGCTAACATTGATCTCACCTAGAGCATACCCTGTGAAATGTAACCTGTATGCCTCTGTATAAGTCTTTTTGATCTGTACATCCTCAATTACTATGATCTGCCTGTACTGCTCGTAAACAAAACTTTTCACTGTATTGTGGTACGCGTGACAATAAATGAATCAATCGATGGAAAGGTTTGTGAAAGAGGTGACATGCTCGACCAGACAGTATACAATGGTGTGAACTCATTTTACGTTTTGGCTAAGGATGTGTGGTTAGATTTAGAAATATTCCTGATGACGGTGAATGGCAACTGATTTCATATATTGGGATTCAATGACTGGTTCTCACTGCCTATGTATGGATCAAGTATTTTTTATTTGTTTTATATCCAGAAGTGCTATACTCTTTCCCAGCACAAAACACTGTGACTGTTTCTTTTTTTTTCAGTACTAACCACGACCAATAATCATCCATGTAGACAATTCAATATTCACAAGTGAAGCCCATTATGGGCAACGCGACCCATCAAAGGTGAAAGGGGGAATGTTAGGGGAAGCAGGAGGAGAAATAAAATACTGTGTCCTCTGCAGTCCCTATCTCTCTGTAAAGCGTTAGAGACCATTGATGGACACCACATTCTCCCTCTCCAAGGAAAGTTGGTTACGAACATAACCATAGCAGAGGGGCAGACAATCGGCAGATGTGATGCCCTCCACAGCCTGGACCTGATTCAGATAGGTTTTTATTTAGATCATATTAAGTTAAACACTGGGAACGTTGTAACCTTTTCAAATATGTAATTCTTGGGTGAATTTTCACCTGCCGAAGGACTAAAAATTGGCTCAATTTCTTCACCTTATACCTTCGAACAGGTGTGCTCGATTAATGATTTCCCAGGTTCTTCTAAACTGCTGCTTTTGATTGAACTGATTAGGAGACAAGAGGAATTTCAACTGTTGCCAAATTACTGCAGGTTTCATTTCTAAACATGTAACAAAGGGTGCATTGTGCAAGATATAGTTAGCGTGGTGAGAAAACTGTAAGGGGTTATTCACCAGCTGTGTGTTTCTGTCAACACTTGCTGCATAGAAAATATCCAGGTCAGTCATTAGTTTGCTATTGTTTCTGAACAAGAGTGGCTATCGCTGCTCAACTGGAAATGGGAAGCTTGTGATTCGGCTTCGGTTCTGACTATTCTGGAGTGCTGTATTCCCATTGACTAATAAAAGTGCAATTCCTTATTCAGCTTTGCGCTGCTCTCAGATTTAGGTGAGAGGTCTATGTGCATAAGGTACTTTAACTGTTTAACCTTTACATTGCTGCTAATTATAGCTTAGTCAATATATTTATGCTACTTTCATTTTAGCAGCTAAGATTTTGACCATTTACTTCCAATTATGTGACTTTCATTTTTACAGTTGATGATTCAAATTGATATGATGTTTGAAAAATAAGTCTTCTTTGATTCCTGTTTATGTTTAGTTGATCACAGCGAGAACTGATCATATAAGTACTGAAATTTGTCTTACACGCTGGGCTAGAGAAAGAACATTAGTTAGCATCCCAAATTCTAACTATGCATCTATGTATGATTAAAAATATAATATTGTAGACAGTTCCTGTGCACATTTTCCTTTTTGTAAAAAAAAACGAAAGAACTGTATATGCTGTAAATCAGGAACAAAAACAGAAGTTGCTGGAAAAGCTCAGCAGGTCTGGCAGCATCTGTGAAGGAAAAAACAATTAACGTTTCGGGTATGGTGAGGAAGGGTCACTGGACCCGAAACGTTAACTCTGTTTTTTCCTTCACAGATGCTGCCAGACCTGTTGAGCTTTTCCAGCAACTTTGTTTTTTTACCTTTTTGTGTACTTTTTATATAATGGGAACCTTAAGCATGAATTTGAAGCAGCCAATTGTACATTAAGATGTTTATAATATGAAAACATATCTGCTTTCACTGTATTGTTGAAGGCAGAGGATCATACAAAATATTTTCTTAAAAACATTTTAGGAACTGGAGTTTCTAAAAGTTTTAAATAAAATTTAAAGTTTTTATTTGATATGTTTGTCAATTGCATTTCATAATTTAGTATTTTTTACATTAGAGTTATTGAAGAATCCCTACTGCACAGAAAGAGGCTATTCAGTCCATACCAACCTTCCAAAGATCATCCCAACCCTGTAACATCACATTTACCATGACTAAGCCACCTAGCCTGCGCATCTTTGCACCATCGGAGGAAACCAGAGTACTCAGACAGAACCCACACAAATGCAGGGAGAACATGTAAATTCCACACAGTCACCAAAGGCTGGAATTGAACCTGGGACCCTGGTGCTGCAGTGCTAACCACTGTGCTACCCTGTTGCCTGAAGGTCTTGGGCTAACCTTGAAATATCTCAAACTCTTAAAAGACATTAGTTTGGACTTGAAGAACTAGAAGCTTTATATATTTTCTAATCAACATGCTCAGGGATGTTATTACACACAGATGGGACTTCAACCCAGATCTCCGAGCTTAGAGATAGGGACACTCCAGCGTGCCACAAGAACTCCAAAGGGTTAGATGTTGCTATGGGAAGGTAATTAACGGCACCTACTATTAATTAACCTCAGCATTGCACATCTCAAAAATAAAAGTTGGTGAAAGAGTGAGCAGATAATAGCATAAGAAGGGAAATGGGCACCTAGGACCAGAGTGATCAGGAAAACCAACAAGACATCACCTTGACTAATCACAGTAAAGACTGACAAATACAAAGGATGCACTGAGGAGGGATGTCAGATCAAGGTCAGAAAAAAAATAAGAGAGGAAACAAAATATTGGATTAAGAAATAAGGATCAAAAAGAAATAAATCTGAGAATTTAATATAGTTCTTAAGATTTTGAAAATCAACAACCTGTAAGAATGAGACTCCATGCTTGTAATAATTATTTGGTAGTAAGTAACTGTCAATATGAAGGCAACCATCTTTATGAATATTTGCTCATGAAATTTAGGGGCAATATGGAGGGTCTCCATCAAGTTGACATGCCAATCACGCACATGTTGAAAAATGTACAACTTTGTTGGACTGCTGTTGTAAAACTAGCCTGCTACTCACTTACCAAAGTAAATCTTCTATAGAGAATTTGAGTCTAGAGTGGGGTTTCGCAGCAGTGAAAGGACGTGCCACAAAGACACTTTGGAGGCTTAATTTATTATATGGACCATGAATCTTGGATGAAGCTCACCCAAGATTACTGCACCTGGCACAATCAAATAATGATTCCTTTGAATGTGAATGGATTTCAAAAGCAGAGAGATAATACAAGGAGTAGAAATCCCAGGTCAGCAACTTAGCCGAAACTCAATCATCGATACTATCCAGGCCCATTGCTCCAGAATCTTCCAGGCCTTGATAGTTACCTTCATCTGTACCAGAACCCTGCCCAACTCCCACATAATGAACAAGTCGTCTTCATCTCAAAGGATGAACATGAAGAAGACTAACCCTCAATATGTGCAGTAGGTTTACTTCATGTCTAGCAAGGTCATACTGCTCTATTTATTTCAATGGTGAAGCAACAACAAAATATCATCTTCATGAAATTAACTGTGGACACAACTTGGACAGCAACTTTTGGAAATTAACTTTTTGCCTTACATTTCACCTGAAGTTGATATACCATTTTTGCATCTATTACTAGCAAGCAAAATTAACTTCACTATTTTTGTCACTGCAAAATCTTGAATTGCACAAGTGTGTGTGTGTGTAATTTGCTGGTATGTACTGGTAATAGTTGAGGTAGTCAAATCATTGTGTTTTTCATTCCGCTTCTTAATGAGATCCATTTGCCGCTCTAAAATTATCGAAAGAAAAGCTAGAAAATTCAGATGTATTCAGAATGTTTTATTAAGCTAAGAGAAGGATAAAATAAGCACAATTTTTGAGTCTGAGCTAGATGTAGCTTGGCTTGGCCTTCAGTAGATTGAAAGAAAAAACAATTGATCTGAAAAAGAAACGAGGCCCAGGTGAGTTTACTTTTCAGACTTCCTTTCTGTCTGTCAGGTCGTCATTTAATTCTGGTAAGATTTGGCAGTTGGATGGAGGTGAGGAGTAGTGGGAGGATACAAATTATAATGCCCTTCTGACAAGACCTGAAGGAATTATCCCTGACATTGAAGCCATTCAATTTGGAACGTAGGGAAGGGAAGGCTGAACCTTTCCTCACATGCTCTAGAATAACAACAGTATGGGAGCTTAAGATGAGAAAAATGCGGAGGAGCTGCATTGAGGTAGAACCATTTGATCTTCTGGCTAAACTAAAGACACACTACAGTAACCTCCAGCCCATTATCCCAGTTTTCTTCACCTCTGTCGCATCTGATTTGAAAACTCCTTCCATTCCAACACTTTTAATGTGTCTTCCTGTCTCTTCCACTAACAATTGTGGTCAACCGGCTTTCTGCTCTACTGCTGTCTCCCATTGCTTTCCTCCTACAAAGACACTAGGCCCAACCCACTGCTCAGAGCTTCCAAGTGCATTGGATCATTTTCCGTCAAGTCCAGCATGATGCCGCCTCCCATTTCCATCCCTTTCAACAATCTGAGGAGATTAGTTCCTCCTCATAACCTTGTTGCATACTTAAATCACTCCACCTCCCCCTTCCCCTCTTGTGGTTCCTTCCCATGCAAGTTCAGGAGATGCAACACCCGCCCTTTAACCACATCCCCTTCCATTGCACTGGGGTTCATACAACTAATTCAGCAGACGGATAGTACTTAAAATATAGATTCACTAGGGAGACATAACACAGATTGGTTGGCTGTCTCTAGTCTGCGAACATAAACCTGAGATTCCAGTTGCCAGTTGTTTTACCTCTCTGCTTCACTCCTACTCTAATCTCACTATCTTTGACCTCTTGTTCCACTGTTCCAATTAAACTCAACAGAAACTAGAAGAACAGTACTTCCTCTTTCACCTGGGCATTTTCCAATCACTGGGTTCAACCTGAATTCAACAATTGCAGAACATAATCTCTAATCTTGCAATCTACCCTTTCTTTTTCATTTTTTTTTGCATTGTTTTCAGATAGCTGTTGCTTGTATTGTATTGTGCTCAATTTCCATTTTCACTTCCCCAAGACTAACATTTTTGTTTCTTCATTTGTCCTGTTCTATCAACCCTTTTGCCATTTAATCTCTCCTGCAGGCTACCCACTGCAGACCCTTTGGTTTCTTTCCCTCACCCTACATTTTCCCCATCTTTTTATTTGCTTAAAGCCTGATGCAGTTCTGATGAAAGACAATCAACCTGAAACTTTATAGGTCTGTTTCTCGCTTAATTGTCACCTGACCTGAGTACTTACACTTTTTTCCAAATATAAAATTTAATTTTGTTTTAACAGAAGCAGATGGAAACATTAACTTACTGGTGCCTGTGAGAGATATGTACAGAGGAGGAGAGGCAGGCAGAGAGACTGACTGATACTGAATAAACAAAGGTTCTTTTATCATCTATAAATGAAACTATTCTAGTTACTGATAGATGAGAAATGCACAGATGAAGGCAGAGAGAAAAATACACCTCCAAAGAAAACTTTGCTATTAATCCTTTGATCTATGCAGCTGTCTTTTCCCCACCACACTTTACAGTGCTGTTTGGAATGATTGCTCACCTAATCACTGACAGGCAGGCAGACTGAGCTGAACCCAGCAGCACACCCCTTCATGACAATTGAGATAACAAGGTGTAGAGCTGGATGAACACAGCAGGCCAAGCAGCATCACAGGAGCAGGAAGGCTGACGTTTTGGTTCGAGACCCTTCTTCAGAAATGGGGGAGGGGAAGGGGGTTCTGAAATAAATAGGGAGAGAGGGGGAGGCGGATAGAAGATGGATAGAGGAGAAGATAGGTGGAGAGGAGACAGACCGGTCAAAGAGGCGGGGATGGAGCCAGTAAAGGTGAGTGTAGGTGGGGAGTTAGGGAGGAGATAGGTCAGTCCAGGGAGGACGGACAGTTCAAGGGGGTGGGATGAGGTTAGTAGGTAGGAGATGGGGGTGGAGCTTGAGGTAGGAGGAGGGGATAGGTGGGAGGAAGGACAGGTTAGGGAGGCGGGGACGAGCTGGGCTGGTTTTGGGATGTGGTAGGGAGAGGGGAGATTTTGAAGCTTGCGAAGTCCACATTGATACCATTGGGCTGCAGGGTTCCCAAGCGGAATATGAGTTGCTGTACCTGCAACCTTCGGGTAGCATCATTGTGGCACTGCAGGAGGCCCAGGATGGACATGTCGTCTGCGGAATGGGAGGGGAAGTTGAAATGGTTCGCGACTGGGTCCGCTCCACACTCCCCTCCAGCCCCACTTCACCCGGCACTTTTCCCTGCAACCGCAGGAAGTGCTACACCTGCGCCTACACATCCCCCCTCACCCCCATCCCAGGCCCCAAGAAGACTTTCCACATCAAGCAAATGTTCACCTACACATCTGCTAATATGGTATACTGCATCTTCTGTTCCCGTTGTGGCCTCCTCTACATCGGGGAAACCAAGCAGAGGCTTGGGGACCGCTTTGCAGAACACCTACGCTCGGTTCGCACTAAACAACTGCACCTCCCAGTCGCGAACCATTTCAACTCCCCCTCCCATTCCGCAGACGACATGTCCATCCTGGGCCTCCTGCAGTGCCACAATGATGCCACCTGAAGGTTGCAGGAACAGCAACTCATATTCCGCTTGGGAACCCTGCAGCCCAATTGTATCAATGCGGACTTCGCAAGCTTCAAAATCTCCCCTCCCTCTACCACATCCTAAAACCAGCCCAGCTCGTCCCTGCCTCCCTAACCTGTCCTTCCTCCCACCTATCCCCTCCTCCCACCTCAAGCCCCACACCCATCTCCTACCTACTAACCTCATCCCACCCCCTTGACCTGTCCGTCCTCCCTGGACTGACCTATCCCCTCCCTACCTCCTCACCTACACTCACCTTTACTGGTTCCATCCCCGCCTCTTTGACCGGTCTGTCTCCTCTCCACCTATCTTCTCCTCTATCCATCTTCTGTCCGCCTCCCCCTCTCTCCCTATTTATTTCAGAACCCCCTTCCCCTCCCCCATTTCTGAAGAAGGGTCTAGGCCTGAAACGTCAGCCTTCCTGCTCCTGTGATGCTGCTTGGCCTGCTGTGTTCATCCAGCTCTACACCTTGTTATCTCAGATTCTCCAGCATCTGCAGTTCCTGCTACCCTCTTCATGACAATTGCCAGGTTTATGCAACATATTTCTGCCAAACCATGGGTTCCTGCTCAGGTGCTGTCAGTCTGTAGGATTATACCATGTTGCCAAAGGTCAGAACTCCCACCACAGGGCTGTCAAAGTCCAGGATCATTCCAAAGTGCTATCTAAACAGAAACTATTCTCCTGGATTACCAAAGCACAGTGCAGCTAAATACCATTTTCATTATTCAGTCCTGGTACCTGTCTAAATCGAACTTGTACCCAGTGTATTCTCCACTTTAAAACTGGGAAGCAATGCATGGATGAATATATACTCCAAACCTAGTAGGAGAGACATCCAATCAAATCAACATTTGAACTTTTAAAATCTCAGAACTCTTAATAAGAATGGAATTTGATTTATTCTGTCCCTGTATGTTAGTAGCTCTGATATCACAGGGCCACTTTTCTTTTTGGTGTAATGAAACATTATATCCTCAATCTCACTGTGAACATCTGCAGGAAATGTATTAATCGTTTGTGCATGATGATGCATGTGACATTTTTCTTCATGAACTATAATTTTCTTACCATACCTGTCATACCTGGGTGTTACTTTCAACTCCTATTGAGTGTGTTAGGTACATCCCTTTCAGTTCTTCCAAAGCTAGATGGTGCTGCTGCTCCTCAAGCAATACCTCTTATCTCCCAGGTCCTCTATAGTTCAAGGTAGCTCTACAAGTAAAGGCTTTTTTTTGGCCTAAATTTATAACTTAATATGTTATAAACTTTATATGTTAATAACTTAACATTTCCCTATAGTTGTTTCACTTTAAACTTTTATAATCCTATTTTAATTATTGTTCAGTTTTTAACTTTTTGAAGTAATTCCATCTACTGTGTCCTTTAGGCCTTCTGATGGGGAGTGGAGAGGAACATACGGGTGCAAGGATGTGGGAGCGAGTCGACTTGTCAAGAAAACAGTGCTCATTGTTTGGAGACTGGCAATAGGTAATGGAGCAGACCCAGGAGGTTGTCGGTAGCTGTAGCAGAATGCCTTGTGTGAAGGTGTGGGAAATGGCAGGAGTGTGAAGGACTGCAACTGGGCAAGATGAAAAGGTTTCTGTAAGATGGTGGGGAGCGGCATGATGTGGGATATATAAGCTTAATGGGATGGGGAAAAGTGAAGTGTGAACATGGCATGGATAAAGAACCATCTCTCTGACATTGTCATAGTTGTTGTCGTTGTAGTGGGTGATTTTAACTTCCCCAGTATTGACTGTGACTCCTTTATTGCCAGGGGCTTAGATGGAGCAGAATTTGTTAGGTGCATCCAGGAGGGTTTCTTGAAACAATATGTAGATAGTTCAACAAAGAAGGGGCCTGGCCAGGTGATTGAAGTTTCAGTAGTGGAGCATTTTGGAAACAGTGATCATAATTCTGTTAAGTGCTAAGATAGTCATAGTTAAAGATAAAATTGGTCCTCAGCTTAAAATGCTAAATGTGGGGAAGGCTAATTACAACAGTATTAGACAGGGACTGGAGAAATTAGATTAGGGGCTATTTGATTGCTGTTTGAAGGTAAATCCATATCAGTTAGGGCATTGACTATAGAAGTTGGAAAGTCATCTTGCAGCTGTATAAAACTTTAGTTAAGCCACTTTTGGAGTAGTGTGTAGTTCTGGTTATCATACTATAGGTAGGACGTGGATAGTGCAAAATAGGTTGACTAGGAGTTGCCTGAATAGGAGTGTATTAACGAGGAGAAGAGGTTGGACAAACTTGGATTGTGTTCACTAGAGTGTCAGAGGCTGAAGGGCAACCTGATGGAAGTATTTAAAATAATGAGGGGCATGGATAGGGTGGATATTTGGAGTCCTTTTCCCAGGGTAGAAATGTCAAATACTAGGGAGAATAAGGTGAGTAGGGGAAAGTTTAAAGGAACTGCACAAGGCAAGTTTTTACACAGAGGATGATAGGTGGCCTGGAACAAGCTTCAAGGGGATAGAAGCAGATAGATTAACAAAGTTTAACAGCCATTTACACAAGAACATAGGAATATAAGAAATAAGAGCAGGAGTAGACCATCTGGCCCCTCAAGGCTGCTCCGCCATTCAATAAGATCATGGCTGATCTTTTCATGGACTCAGCTCCATTTATTCCCCCACTCACCTTAACTCTTAATTTCTTTATTGTTCAATAATCTATCCATCTTTGCCTTACAAACCTTTAAAGAGATGGCCTCAACTGCTTCACTGGACAGGAAATTCCACAGATCTACAACCCTTTAGACAGATATGTGAACAGGCAGAGAATAGAGGGATATGGACCATGTGTAGGCAGATAGGAATAGTTTAGAGTGGCATCATGGTCTGCGCAGACAAGGTAGGCCGAAAGGCCTATTCCTGTGCTGTACTCGTCTATGTTCTACATTCTGTTGGTGCCGCGTGAATCTCACCTTTTAAATTCAATGTGTAGTCCTGTCTGGATCTTAGTTGTAACCTCCTTCCTCCATTGCCTGGAATTACAGCCAAATCATCTCCCGGGGATAAACACATATACTTCCCAGATTAGGAATGTTGGAGAGAATATTTTGTAAAAGAATAGAACATGGGGAAATACTTCAAAATGGAGGAAAACAAAGTAAAATTGCCTGATATTTCATTTAGTGTCCTGCATTTACGCCATCTTTAATGTAAATATGTAAATATGTAAATAAGATCGTTGACATCATTGGGAAGTGATTGACTACCAGATGATGGTTCTCTCTAGCAGCCTCATGGCAGTAATGAAATCTTCACCTTTTTATACAGTTAGTGTTTACTGTTTTTACACAAAATAATAGCAATTTCTCCTGCATTAAAAGACTTCTACAATATTTATGAACCCCTCTTTAGACCAAGCATGTAACGTATTATGGAAAGCCACTGAGTACCAATTGAGCCATCCATGGGAGTCACTGGATTATGCTTTTTCTGCTACTGGCGGAAACATTTTAAAAAAAATAGACATTTTACTAACTGGCCATTTAATTCCTGAGAATGTCCACTGTAGAATTAGCATCAGCACAGCCTGAATACCTGCTGTATAAAGTAGTAGCTTTACTCTGGATAGTAGTTAGGGAAATATTTGGAAATTAATAAAATGAAGTATTCTGCACTGACTATTACAGGAAGTTTATTAGTAAACTGGGATGCAATTCCTGGAATGCACCAGATGAAAGCTGGTTAGAAGGCTGTAGAAAATGAATTTTAAAATTTTTTGAAGGCTGAGTTCCCCTTCTTGGAAAATAATTTTCAGCTTCTACTTAATTGTGATGTGTTTAATATGTAAAAAGTTTAACTTCCTTCCTTTCCTTCACCCCACCCCAAATAACATTTAAAGTACATGTCTTAAAATGTGGAGAACATTTCACATATCTGATTCCAATTGCTATCATTAGTTTATGCAATGGTAGAAAGGGCTAGATTTTGTTTTTGCAGTGCCACGCATGCAGAATACTCTGTGTTTGAGGATAAATGGAACTTTTGTGTTGATTGGGAAATACCATAATTTATGAATGGGGGAACATATTCTGTTGTATGTCTTTTGAGCACAAAGTTGAACATTCCTTAAATTTTGATTTTAATGTAATGTTGCTATCTCCCAGCTGACTCGTATTTTTAAATTATTCCAAAACAGTTGTCATAGTTAAAGCTAATTCTGAAGAAGCATTATATCTTACCTTTTTAAAATTCATTCATGGAATGTGGGTTGCATCCCTAATTGTCCAGAGAGCAGTTAAGTGTCAACCACATCACTGTGGATCTGGAGTCACAATTAAGCCAGCATCCCCTTCCCTAAAGGATGTTGGTGAACCAGATTTGTTTTTCCCTGACAATCAATTTAATGGTTTTATGGTCATCATTAGACTCCTAATTCCAGCTATTTATTGAATTCAAACTCCATCCTTTGCCAGGGCAGGATTTAAACCCAGGGCCCTGGAGCATTACCTGAGTTTCTGGAGTAATAATCTAGCAATAATACCACTAAGCCATAACCTCCCTGCAACTGAATAGATTAACTCTGTTTCTCTGTCTACAGTTACTGTCAGATCTAATGAGTTTCTCCAACACTGTGTACAGTTCTGTAGTATATTGCTGTAATCTTAGTTATGGAGCCTGTAATACCAACTGCATCAAAGATTAATCAGGAGGGTGGCAAGTTTCATTTGTGGTTTTGAGTATTTAGGCTTTTCCCAAGGGTAATCATATAGAACTCTGACTCTGAGTGTCCCAAGACTGTGCAGGACTCTTGTCAGTACACCCTATCTCAACCCAAACAGATCTGTTATTTGTATATTTAATGCATGCAAATAGAAAGTGTTAGATGTGTTCAAGTGAAACTTAAATTAGCTAATTAGGGTCTTGTGGTGCAGCTTCCCTGCCTCTGGGCTAGAATGTTAGGTTACAGTCCACATTATAAGACCATAAGACAGAGGAACAGAATTAGGTCATTCTACCGTCAAGTTTGCTCCATCATTCAATCACAGCTGATATGTTTCTTGACCTCGTTCGCCTGCTGTCTCCCATAATCCTTGATCCTTTTTTTAATCGAGGACCTATCTCTGTCTCAAATGGACTCAATAATTTGACCTTCACAGCCCTCTGCAGCAATGAGTTCCACAGATTTACCACCCTGTGGCTGAAGAAATTCCTCCTCATCTCGGTTTAAAAGGGTCTTTCCTTCACTTGAGGCTGGACCCTTGGGTCCTGGTCTCTTCCTATGAGTGGAAACATCTTCTCCACGTCCACCCTATCCAGGCTTCTCAGTATTCTATAAGTTTCAGTGAGATTCCCCGTCATCCTTCAAAACTCCATTGAGTATAGACCCAGACTCCTCAACCACTCCTTATATGACAAACCCTTCATCCTGGGATCATTCTTGTGAACCTCCTCTGGACCCTCACCAATGCCACATCCTTCCTTATATACGGGACTCAAAACTGCACACAGTATTCCAAATGTGGTCTGACCAGAGCCTTATACAGCCTCAACAGTACATTCCTGCTCTTGTATTCTAGCCCATTCGAAATGAATGCTAACATTGCATTTGCCTTCCTAACTGCCAACTGAACATCAAATTAGCATCTGATGACTATGAAAATGTGTCCTCACTGTACAAACAAGTCAATATTTTAACAAGTGTGGTTAAGTTGATTTAATTGACTTACTTTAAATTGGACTTTGCAATGAGTGCAAAAGGGAATTTCTTGAAAATGTGGTGTAGTTGTGTTAGAAAAGTGTATGCTCATAATTTTAATTTTTTGAATAAATGTAAGGTGAGTAAAGATGGCTCTGGTATCGTTGGCCAACTAGCTTTCCCGAATAATACAGTATAGACTCTGTTGGAGTAGGAGTCCCTGAGTGCTGGAGCTCTTCATTACTTCATCTGAATGCTCATAATTGAAATTTAATAGCACACAATATTTTTCACGAGATTTTGCAGCTTCTTTCCACTCTCTCATTTTAAGCACATTCCAACATGGGCCATTGGAAACACAATCAGGAGCTGGGAGGTTTCCTAACTGAGAACAAGAATAATTACATCACACAAAAGAGCCATATTAAAATGTCTTAATGACCTATTAATCAGGAAGTGAACCTGGAATTGTACCAGTCTTTAGTCTAAACTTCTCTAAGTTTTGACTCAGAGGCAAAAATGGAGAACAATAGCTTTTTATCTCTCTTTTTTCATTTCACATTCAGTTGAAATTTAGAGGATGGAGGAGCAATGAAAATAAGTTTTCGTTGGCTTGCCTGAGAACTCAAACATTGTTAAGTGACTCCTTTCTCTTCTTTTCCCTGGTGAAGAAAACTTTCAAAAGCACTGGTAGATTCTTCTTCAGAATGCAACATGGACAGTATGGAACTTATGTCCAAAACATTTCTCCGACAAGCTGTAAATTTAGTTTTGCTGCCATTTAAAAGTAGCTCTTAGTGATTTTCCTCATGAATATTGGAAGTTTGAAG